TGGGTATCTTTACAGAAGAATTAAAAACATCATACAACAATGGTATATGTGCACCCATGTTGATAACAGTTTCTAATAACTAAATCTTGGAAACAACCCAAATTGCCTATCAGCCAAGGAATGGATAAAATGGATGTGTGTCATGGTTTATGTCTGTAGCCCCCAGGCCTCATGAGTTTGCATTGTGCATTTGTGATTGGTTTATTGTCTAGTGCTTGGATTGATGGTGTCAGTGCTATATCCACACAGGGGTGGAGCCAATGTGTAACATAATGGCAGGAAGAAAGCGTGTCTGGCTTTTTTGTGGGTTCCTGCCTTGCTGTTTGCACCCTCTACGAACTGTGGCTCTACCATGCCCGCCTGCCTTGGAGCTGAGTATGGACTGAAACCTCTAAAAACTGTAAGAAATAAACCTTTCCTTTCCCATCTTTGGGCTTCAGGTATGTTTCAGCGACAAGTAAAAAGTAACTAAGACAATGTTACACAATAGAATACTAATTAGCCATAAAGAAGGGTAAACTTGAAACTTTTATAGGTAGATGGGTACAATTTGAGATCATAATCATAAGTGAAATAAACCAGGCTCACATGTGTAAATATCATATTGTCCCTCCGGTGTCAGAAACTAAAAAAGTAAATTATGTCTAAAATGTACAATATATATTGTGAAATGGGAAGAAATTATTCAAAAGGAAAAAGGAACTAGAATGGGAGAAAGGAGAAAGGATGATGGAAAAAGGGGAAAAATGCAAATCAGTTATACTATTGGTGTTTCTTAGTTCACTGAAAAGGAAAGTTTGTGCTAATATCAATTGGTGAAATTTTAATGTCCAATTTTGTACTCTGAATATCTATTTTAAAGACAACAATATGCAATGTATTAACTATTGTTATTCTTCTAATATTTTATTATGAAATTTTGTTTTACCTTTATTCTATAAAATAAAAAATTAAAAAATAAATCACTAACTGAAACCATGTCCACAAACACATGCATCTGAGCTCAGACTGACCCTTTATGCTTACTTATTCTTTTCTGGCATTGCAAATCTTTGCTTTCTACTGCACAAGCAGTTGGTGTTTGAGTAGTAACTCAGGACTTTGGTTTTAAATTAAACCTAAAATTCCAGTCATAACCCAAGTCACTCATAAGCTAGGCTGGTCATGACTTGAGGATCCAAATGTTATTTTCTTACAGTGAGGGGCAAAGTGACTAAGACATTTATGGTTGAATGCCAATATTATGCCACTTCTTAGTCGTGTGAACTAAGGCAAATCATTTAACCTTTTGAAACCTCACTTTCTCATATATAAAATGGGGATAATAATACGGCCTACTTTGAAGGCTTAAGTTTAAATAAGAATGCATGTAGATGATTAACCATAAAGCTTGAAACAAAATAAATATGCAAAATATATTAGAAATTGTAGTTATTTTGTGACAGATACAGTCTTCAGTCTCTTTTAAAAAAAATTAAAAACAAAAATAAAAAAGCGAGTGAACCAAAAAACTAACAGCAAAAGCAAAATGACAACAACAACAAAAAACAATAGAGATAAGGGGTTTCAAACCAAGAAAACAGGAATTTGACAATGGTTGTTATATTGCATATTGTTATCTTCAAAATAGTTGCTCAGGTTACCAGATACCAGCATGTGAAATTTACCAAACAATATCATTTGTCTGTAAGCAGTTTCTTTCCTTTTTACTATACCTACTGTAACTTTTGGATCTTATTTACTCTTTCAGTTTCCTACACTAACGAGACAACATGGTGTTTACACATGCAAGTCTGATTTATTTCACTTAAGAGTATAGTTAAGAGTATAGTTTCAGGCTCATTGTACTGTACAGGAAAACCTGCCCAATTTGGGACATATCTGTTACTAGAAACATAATGAGCCAAAATTCTTTCCCTTTATTTATCTCTTCAAGCCTAGTAATAGATCCTTTCATCACTTTTTGTTGGCCCTTTAATTCTGTCCACCCATTTGTAAATAGTAATGCCTCCATTAGAGTTTCTTTTTTTTTTTTTTTTTTCTTTTTGAGACAGGGTCTCGCTATGTGGTTTAGGCTGGCCTTGTAGCCCAGGTTGGTCTCGAACTCACAAGGATCCTCCTGCCTCAGCCTCCCAGAGTGCTGGGATTACAGGCGTGAGCCACCATGCCTGGCTCATTAGAGTTTCTTTACTCACATTTTTTTGAGAAGGCTACTGTCTTCTGTCAGGACCATGATCAGTACAATCTTGTACGTGTGCTTGATAAGTCACCCTTGTTCATGAAAGCCTCTCAGGACTTTCTTCTGAGCCTTCACATACATGGCTCCTTTTGTTTCTGACTTCCATTGGCCCATTTTATTTCCTATTTATAATTCTGCTTGTAATCTTTGTAATCTTTGTATTTGGTCTCCCATCTTAGAATCTTACTTATTCCATCAAGGACTTTGGCTGTGACTTATTGTTCTACTTCTTCCATTTCCAAGTGTCTCTGGGGAATCTAGTTTGAGAACCTTTAAACTTACTCCTTTCCATCTTGCTATAGGTGTATTTTCTGCATTCCAGACTCATTACTTGACTGCCTGCTTACCTTCTATATTTGAGTAAATACTTGATGTGACAATGAATTGGGATACTTAAAATCACTCATAATTTTTCAAAATGTCTTCAGCTTGCTTTTAGGGTTTTTTGTTTGTTTGTTTGTTGGCTTTTTTGAGACAGTGTCTTGCTGCCTCAGCTTCCCAAGTACTGGGATTACAGGCACACACCACCTCACCAAGTCACTTGCATTATTATGAGCATTTCCTTTTCCTTTTCTACATGTATTCCTTGTTTTGTCTGTTTCACAAGGATAACAATTCAGTACTTTTTTCTCTTTCAATGTCGTAGGATTTACTATAGACCACAAATGTAATGGCCATGCCCTCTTAAAACACCATAGAATTTTAAATAAGCATGCCATTTTTACTTAAGTGATACTGTTCCTATTTCTAAGGATGGAAAAGGGATGACAGTCATATGTATGAAGAATCAGTGTTGACTGTGAACATTAAATCAAATATCATAGGATTGTGCTTTGCATTAGGTGATAATCCATCTATATTTCTCCTACATTGATTTCATTAATAAAAATTAAATTGCAGGGTCTGCCTGTATATAAACATTCCCAGTCTTTTAATATATCTTGCTGTGACTACACAGTTATTTTAAGAGATGCCAGAATTGTATTTATTTTGAATTAATGGACATGGGGAGTTAACCACATATGGAGCTCACCTGTTGTTTGCAGAACCTGGAGTGTTACAGAACCATTTTAAAACATCTTTTCAGTACTCCAAAGCAAAGTGTGGGGAGGCGAGTACTAAACCAGGAGAACAAAGACTTGCAAGTGTAATCTGAAATCTGCCTCTGTGTAGCTATGAATGCCTCATAAATTTTTCCAGCATTGTGCCCTCTTTTGTAAGACAGACTTTATCATGCTTCCACAGGGTTGCTGTGAGGATCAAAGGAAGGAAATACAATAGATCATTTTAAAGTATCCTGCAGGGAAGACTGGCACTGTAGACACCTGATCTTAAGTCTCCCCTCAGGTTACCATCACTGACTGCTGGCAGTCATTCCTCTTTCCACATTTTATTAATAATCAAACAAGTAAAGGTTAGAGAACAAGAAAAAATAATGATATATCAAAATAAATGCTTCAGAATATGCAGTTGTTAACTATGTACATTGAGATGAAGAGAGAAATGTAAAATTTTTTTTTGTCTTTTTCATTTTATCGGTACCAGGGATCGAACTCACAACTGCCTGCTTGCAAGGCAGGCGCTTATGCCGCTGAACTAAATCCCCAGCCCCGAGAAATGTAAAATTCTTTACATTTCCAAACAACAGATTTTTTTTTTGTTTTCAGAATTTATTGTTCAGAGATTAAAAATAACATGCTAAATATTAATACAAATATGTTTGTTTTTATACAATATGAATCTACTCCAAATATAATTTTTAAGAAACAACTCCATTTTTCCTATAGATTTCTTTTACAATGTGTTTATGAAGGTTTTTTGTACAAATGCAGGTGAATAAAATTTATTATTAAATATAACCATTATAAATGCATTAAATGGACCCCTTCTACCTACTTTGTAAGTATGGTGGGATCTGCAGTAGCCAAACTCAGTTATGAGTCCAAAGCTTCAGATTTGGCATAAATGGAATGGTTGGGCTGAATGAATCCATGTTTACTTGATTCACCTTAGTATTTGCTGCCAAACACATACCATATATTTCACATTATACCTTGATTTATAAACCCATGATTCTGAAATTATGAAATGAATATTTTTGAAATTGAATTATTTTAAAATATAAAGGAGTTTACTATTTAAAATAATTTACATGGTACTTTTTTATTAGACTGAGTTATATAGTATATTGCCACTATCTGAACATTTTTGGACTGCAAAATATTAATTTAATGTGGCTCAATGTAATAAAAAGTGAAGTATCTTTGGCTTTGCCTTAAAACATCTTTGTTTTTTGTTGTTGTTGTTGTTGTTGTTGTTGTTGTTGTTTTTAATTTTTTTTTTGTCTTTTTCAGTTTTTATCGGTACCAGGGATCGAACTCACGACCGCCTGCTTGCAAGGCAGGTGCTTATGCCGCTGAGCTAAATCCCCAGCCCCAACATCTTTGTATCTAAATATACCTGTTTATATATAGCTAATATGAAATTTTGGGCAAGAATGGGGTGGGCCAGCTAACATTTTGTACAGAAAACTAAATTCAAATTATGCCCACTGGTTACTGTAGCAGACTCATTGAGCAGTAATATATGTCCATTCATAATTTGCGATATGACATAATAAATTTTAGTATAAATGGAAAAATTATTTTCTTTACAGTGTGTTTTCATTCACATATTCAGTTTATTTTCCTAAAGATTAAATACTACATGAGTTGCCATAGTAAAACATCAGTTTAAATTATTTCCATTCATGTCTTCACTGAAAATTGTGGGGGTTATGCTGCTATTTTAGTGCAGTCAGTGCTGTATGTTTTTGATGAATGCTCAGAAAAGAGCTAGATCCCATGAGGGTAGTTGTGATTAAAAAGGATAGTTGTTTTCTAGGTAAGTAACCTGATCACAAATTATGAATCATCATATAAATCAGTGATTACAGGGAATTTTAATCCCCCCAAATTTGGTTGGGGAGGTCCCGTAAGCAGGGAGCAGATTTGCAGTCTATCTTCATAAGATTCAGCAACAATGCATCAAATATCTTCCTATTTGCTACTGTTTGAAAATGTAATCAGATCCTTCGTTCACCCAATCACTGACTTCTCAACTGTAAAATGCATTTAAATACTGTGGACACAAAAAGGAGAAGATGGGATGCAGGTGAATACATGTCCTTAAGTTCTGAGGTATAATTCCAGCCTTTGACGAAGTCCATGTATGGCTTTCATGTATGTTAATCTTTTAAAAGTCCATGGCAAGAGCTGGGTGTTAAAAACTGTTGGTCAGCTTAACACCAATGGAATGAAATCACTGTGGTGCTGAATGTAGATGCTCTACCTGAGGAAAGTTGTCAGCATAAATAGAGACGTGAGAAGGAAAAGCTATAGTGTTAAGGTGTGGAGGTATTGTGGGTTCTCCAACATGTTGCTGATTGAGCCATTGATTCTTCTGGAGAAGCTCTGGTCATCATATTGAGCATTGTTTCCTGGCTCTAGAGAAGACATGTGCTGCTTGGTCTGCAGGATGAACTCGTCAAGCTAGCTGCCTGGCATGTACTGGACTGTGCTTATCCCTGGAGGAGCTTGGGGGCCTCCCTGTCACTAAGGATGGCTGTGATACTTTTCAGGACAGCCCTGGTCTTTGTTATGCGTGTGGCTTCTTGGCTCCCGCATAGTACCCTCATCCCACCAGCACAGCTCCTTCACCTCACTGACATGGACCTGCTGCTCACTGACATGGACCTTCTGGCTTCTACTGCTGACCTTTGTGCCTTCCTGGCATGGATCCATAAAAGAAACTGGCATCAGTCCTTCCTTTGGGCTCAGGACCTCCAGTTGAACTCATGGGAGGCAGTGTCATGAACTCTGGGTTTTCATCGGGACTCATGTGCGACATTGCTGAAGGATTTAGGCCTTTGACTAAATATTCTACGTCTTTGGTGTTGTGGATAGATTTCCTGCATTTTCTTGTGTTAACTCTGGGTGACCACCATAAAAATAATATTATAAACTCCATGTCCTGATTCTAATTGTTCTCAGTGCACAACCCCTGACTACTGGGGATTTAGCTAGGTGGCATAAGCACTTGCCTGGCAAATGTGCAGTCATGAGTTTGATCCCTGGTACTAAAAGTCCGTCACATCTGTGTGTTCAATAAAGACAACCTTTGTTTCTAAGGTGGCTTTGTTTCTAAGATATAATATGAGTCACTTTGCATTTTAGAAAAGAAAGCAAAAAGCGAACTATATACCTTATTCGAGCCTTAGCCTACCTGCTAATTTGTTCTGAATGATGCAGAATTCAGCTGCCATCTCTGACAGGGCACAATTTTAACAGGTAGAGCAGAGTCTACCTTGCTGCTAAGTTTAGCTCTGCATATGGGGATTTCACACTTTTCAGCCCCTTGGAGAGGAGAGCATTGTCAAATTAATACAAAAGTGGAAAGCATTTGGGAATTTCACCACCACACTAGATTTAGAATACAATAAAGGGGCCAATCTAAATTGGTTACAGTGATAGAGGTATTAATTTCGCATCCATTCTACTTCTCTCTTACCACCACTGCAGTTCCCCATGGAGTACCCTATGCAATCTGATGACAAATTTAAATGCAAAGAATGACTGATTTTTTGAGCATGTAGAATCTAACATAGTGTTTTGGTGGCTAAACTGCTACTGGCTTTCTGATTTCTATCTTGTAAACAGTATTCATCTCTTTTGGGTTTTCTTTGGAAATTTAATTTAAAAGAATAAAATCCTCCCCTACTGACATATTAGGGCAACTTATTTAAATGAAAGTTTTCAAAATATATTTTTCCCTGAAGATAATAAATGGTCTTTTGGTAGGGATAAGGAAAGGAAGAACATTTTTTGGGAAAGACAATATGTTATTTTAGGACATTTATCTTAATAAGGATTTGTTGGAAGGTGTTAATTTTTTCCTCTGTCTTTATTTATTTTCTTGTACTTAGATCTTAAAAAGAGTCTAGCAGTGACGATCGGGTTATTATTTTTTTCAGCAAAAAAAAAAAACACCCAGAAACCCAAAACCAACCAAACAAAAAATCCTACAACACACCTTCAAAAGATAGAAAGTTTTATCCAAAGTCAAAATTATTCAATGCCAGAATATCAAAATTATTTCATTTCTGCCTTAAAATACCTTCTTTTTCAAAGCTACATTTTTACAAAGTTTTTATTTGAGTGCAACTTAATCCTGAAGTTTGACACAAGGGAGAGAAAGGTGCTGATGTGTAGTGTAGAATTCCTTGTCATGAGAACATTTTGACGTAATTTTTCCTTGATATGGGATCAGTTCATCATTCCAGATTTTCATTATACATCTGGCATTATCTGAGTTTTTAAAAGTCGAGTAATAGTAATAACAGAGATATAAGATGCACATTTTTTTCTTATTAGATGAATTTAACTCATCTTCTTTCTGGAAAGCTGCTCCTTAAATTGAAACCGTTTCTTTACATCTCTTCTTTCATTTGGGACAGATTTGATGAGCCAAAATGATGAAACCATTATTCTTTTGGGAAAGGGATAGTGATCCTCTTCTGTTAACTTCTGATAAGATTCAGTTTCATGTTAACATAGGCGATTCTTTAGGGCCAAACTGAAGAGTTAAAACTTGTTTTTTTTAATGGTACCATCTTGAAACACTCATTTTTCAAAGGAAAATTTTCCTTGTTCTCATAGCTTGTAGGAATCTTGTATTTTTAACAATAGCATCATATGAATTTCTGTGGTCTGAGGTTTGTTGAAGGCCCCGGCTCTTTGGTTACTATGGAAACCTGCCCTCCCAACCAGCTGTCATTTCCTATATCCTTTTCAAAGAATGAGTCTCAGGCCTCTTATATATCCCACAAGCAGAGTCAAGAGGAAGAATAACACAAAGAAAACGTTAACAGGTTATTGTTACACAGGAAGCTTTGTGTAAGAAAGCAACATTTTCTGCACATCAGCATACAAGGGTTCAATCAGATCCACTAGATCTCAGCCTCATTCTGGCTCTAAGGAGTGGGGATTCGACTCTGCATCTCCACATCTGTAAATTGTGGGGCACTTTCTACGCTTTCAGAGGTGACGGGCGAAATGACATGTTTGAGCCGAAGGAGCATTGTGAAGAGCAGAATGAGGAGAATGGCCAGGAGGCTCAGGAATAAACCCACATACATGTACAGGTTAGAATACTTCTCTGAGGTGGTGTCAACCTCTGTGGCCAGAGTAGGAAAATGGGCCCTCCCAGTGAGATTTCCATGGTACTTAAAATACACCTCCGTCATCACTCAGTATGAGTTGATACCTCTTTGATTTCTATTGCCTTGGTGGCATTCCAGGTCACTCACACAGTCTGTGAATATGCTTGGGGTATTCTAACAATCTGACATAAACTCATCACTCTTGGAGTGAAATCATGGTGCACAGACAAGAAAACAATAATGTTCTAAATTGATAATTTCTACACTCTCTGTCCTCTAGCACAGTAAGCACCTTCCTCCCAAATAGGTTTTTATCAAAATTTCTTAATGAAGTAAAAACTGATCTGTAAAAAATAGATCTATAAATAAAGCTTTATTTTTCACACTCCTACTCTTACACTGATTAACTGTAGTGAAACTGTTTTATAATACTGGTTGGGGACAAGAATCGCTTAGAATATTATATCCGACATTTACTGTGTTTTGTTAGAGGGAAGATGGATCCCTTTTGCCTACAGCCTGTCTATGAGTGTGGACTAAATGCATGAAATTTAATTGGATTTTTCTGTGAGGAGACTTTCTAAAGGCATTTATGTATTTCTGTCTCATTATATATGAGTTTTCACCCCAACTTGTCTGTCTTTCTGAATGTCCCTGAGGATGCAGACTAAAGTTCCTGCCCAACTGCACAGCTTGAGGGCTGAAAGCCTAGAAGACATAAATTTTTTACAGCCTTGTTGGTGTCTCTCAGTGTAGTTTGGAGGGGAAATGTTGTCAGACCTGGTAATTCTCAGATGTAGGAGATCTCAGAGATGCTGATAGCAGTAGGCCTAGTTTCAGAAGATTTGGCTTCTAAGATTCTTCAACACACTTATTTTCCTGGAAATTAAAAAGAAATCGAAGATAAAATATTCAGGTGTTTAAGGGAAGTGGATGACAATATATTTCAAAATAAAAATGAACTTGGTTTACTATAAGCAAACTAGTTTTAAAATAATGTAATTTTCCATAATTTTGAATGTCTTTTTTTGTGAATATGTAGTCCTGGGGATTAAACCAAAGGCCTTGAGCATGCTAGGCAAGTGCTCTACTTTAGAGCTGCATCCTCTGCTATTTTTGTTTGTCTGTTTGTTTATTTATTTTGTACCAAGGATCAAAATGACCTAGCACTGCCAGGCAGGCGCTTATACCACTGAGCTAAATCCCCAGCCCCATATTTCTGTTTTTATTTTGATAAGAAGGTCTTGCTATATTGCTCAGGCTGGCCTGGAGCTGTTTCCTCCTACCTCTGCCTCTTAAGTGACTGAGATTATAGATGTGTACCACCACTGTGCTTGGCTGAGACTCTTTTCTCCATATGTGGGAAATAGCTGTTAAAAGGTTAAAGAAAAGTCCTGATCACTAAACAGCAGCTAATAACTAGGTTCGATTATGACAGTGTTTTTGTATTAATTGATCATAACATTCACCTGGAGTAATTTTAATATGGAAAAACTGGGTTACAAGCTGGATTTTTGAACTCTAATCTTCAAAGTAGGGATTTCAGCAGCACTTTAAAGATTCAGACTTTATTGGACTGGGATCGATCCCAAATATTATTATTTTTTAAAAAGTTCCCAAGTAACCATAAATTGCAACCAGGACTCCCTACTACTGAAACAAAGTATACCTAAACTTAAGAATTTATCAGTTCCAGTGCCAAACTGCAATTTAGTGTATCATAAAATGTTTAAAACTGCAGATTTCTCCCAATTTTACTTTTGTTCTTGCTCATTTAGGTCTTCAAGATGGGAATACATATTATTTTCTGTATTTGTTGACCAGAAGAAAGTGAAAGGCTATGTCTGTGCTGAGCTAAGGAACAGCATCCTTTATTATTAAATAGGACAGCACCTTGTCTTTTTTGGCAAAAAAAATTCCAGTATGTAAAAAGGATCAGTCAATTACTCTTGAAGTTTCCCAAGATGATTATCTTGCCATTTCAAACATTAATTTTGAATGAAATGAACAATATGCAGCCCCATTACCTGTCACAATTCTATGTGTAATAGTAGCAGATTGCTGACAATGTAGTTTAGTTCTCTTTGTTAATATAATCAAGGATAATTAATAAAAACAGCTCGTTACTCTTCCAATCATCTTTAATTTTGCAGTTAACCTGGAACACTTCAGATTGAATTTTATATTCCCCACTCTACATTACTATATTTTCTGTAATCAACATGCTTCTTAGTCTGATTACTTACAAGGTGTGATTAAAATGCATGGTGATATTTAAATTTTAAAAAATTTATTATAGTAAAATATGCATTGCCATTAATATTCATCACCCCCAAATACTTGCCTTTACTTTATTTTTTTTTTTTTATTTTTTTTTTTATTTTTTTTTTTTTTTGTCTTTTTCATTTTTACCGGTACCGGGGATCGAACTCCTGACCGCCTGCTTGCAAGGCAGGCGCTTATGCCCCTGAGCTAAATCTCCAGCCCCCAACTTGCCTTTACTTTAAACACACATCCCTTTGTTCTTGCTACTTTCTGAAGCAGTTCTTGAAGTCCTCCTTTGTAAGTGCATTTACAAAGTAAAATTAAAAAGTACAGTGAATGTTGTTTCTGAGTGTCACCCAAAGGAACTGCAGGCACATAAAAAATCTGGTGTGTCCCCTTGAACTTTCTTCACCAGATCTGGCACCATATAATTTCTGCCTCTTCTTTAGTGTTAAAATGACCATGAAAGGTAAACAGTTTGAACAGATTCAGAACATTGAGTAACCAGGACAGCACAACTAATGAAACGCATGAAAAAGTACTTTCAAAACTTCTTAGAAAATGGCAAGAATGATGAAGTAAATATGTTTTAAGGGAGGGGAAATACTTTAAGCCAGTATTACTGGAAATATATCTTTTAATGTAATTTTTAAAAATTTAAAAATTCAACATATAATTCAGTTACATTTCTCATTGCTTCTATTATCCACTTCATAAGAAACAAAAGCAAAGCCAGGGATTCTCTTTCTACAAGTTTTGGATTAATGGTCTAAGGAAGCATTTTTGTTATGTTTCAAGGTATATCCGTTTTGATTTTGGATTATTTTGGGAGGGAGGGATCAAGGTCCAAGGATATGCTTTTTTATTTGATTCTTTACACACAGAACATTGAGAGTTTATTGGTTTTTCTCTAGAAAGTCAATCTGAAGAATATAGCTAATCCTTTTTCTATTGTTTGGAGGTCCTACTTTTAAAAAGTATTTAAAACAGTGTTACTGGTTGAAGTGTACTATGCAAAAAGGTACCTTGATGTCCAATCCCTCCCCCCCAGTACCTATCACTTTCATTTTATTTGGGAATAAGTTCTTCACAGATGTAATCACAGATGTAATTAAGTTAAAATGAGGTCACTAGGTTGGCTCCAATCTAATGACTGGGATCCCTCTAATGTAATGACAGAGTCAGCCAGTGAGAAGACAGAAACAGAGATTGGAGTGATGTATCCAAAAGCTAAGTAATGGCAAAAATTGCCAGTAAACACCAGAGGCTGGAAATAGGTAAGATTGTCCCCTACAGGTTTCAGACTCAGCTGATGCCTTGATTTTGGAATTTTAGCCTCCAGACCTGAGAAAATAAATTTCTGTTATTTTATGCCATACAATTTATACAACATTGTTATGGTAGCTCCAGGAAAGAAATATACAGAATAACTACCCTGAGCCCTAGGGTTTTGGAAACTTGGATGCAATGTTTGTCAGTATGGGGACTGGTAACTCCTTTCATCAGTTTTAGTACATGTGCTACTGAAAAGAGTACTCTTTTCATCCCGAATAATGCACTTAGAAGTTGCTTATTAAATGCAGACACCTAGGCCTTTTCTTTTGCTACTAAGCCCTGCAGTAGTTTCTCAATAATAATTGAATAATTGCATGGCTATGACTGAAAAAATGCATTTAGCACGGACAATGTGAAGAAAACTAGTCGTGTTGTATCTTTGATTTGATTGTTAGTATAGTTATCCCTTAGTATCTGTGAGCCATTGGTTCTAAAATCCCTATAGATACCAAAATCTGAGGACCCTTAAAACCCTTCTATAAAACAATATAATGTTTGCATATAATTTATACACATTTTCTAGTGTACTTTAAACCATCTGTACATTTTTATAACATCTCATATGATATAAATGCTATGTCTACAGTTATTAGTTAGGGAATAATGACAAGAAACAAAAGCCTATACATTTCCTGTAGAGGCATAGTTTATTTCATATATTCTTAGTTGGCTGAATCTGTGGTTGGTTGAATCTACAATGCAGAATCCTAAGATATAGAAGCCTGACAGAAGAACTTGGAGAAGCGCTTGAATTTCCTTTTCATTCCCCTCTTTTATGCTTTACTTTCTCATTGTGTAAAGGAGATTAAATCCTAAATTTTAATCTAGAATTAAGTAGTAACCACTTTGTTGAAAAAATTGCTTTTGAATTGCTGTTTCAGTTACAAATTTTTAAAGGAATACTATATATAGGGGTTACTATAAAACTAAAATTCAAAGTTTAGAAAGTGCAGTTGTACCTATAGATGAGTTTCAATAACAACTACATTTCCTGTCTATTCTACCCAGTGGACTCTGAATTTTTTTCTTGTGCCTGATATTTATTTATTATTCTATGAAACTTGGAGAAACTTACACAACAATAACATCTGCTATAGTTGTCAGTCTGTTTAAATGTTTCTTTGAGGGTTTGGAAATCTAAATACATTATTTCTCAAATCCTCTATTGTCTGCAGGCCACCAAACACCCTGCCTGGTTAATTTGGATAAGTTTATAGATTTAATAATAGATTTATCCACCATAGACTTTGAAATAAACATTTTTGTATTAGGGAATAATTTTTAATACTCTTCCTATAGCTATGGTTTCTTCTAATAAAACTTTCCAATCAGGATTGTTAGGGCTTTGTTTGGTCACTAATGAAATGCACAGATAATATGGTTGCTCCATTAAAAGTTCTACATGAGAAGGAAAGAAAAACAGCAATACAATTTCAAAAGAAGCAAAAAATCTATTCATTCTGAAGAATTGGATTATTGTGGAAAGACTTTTACAGACTTATTTTAGTATCCTACAGTCCTTTTTGTAAAGCTCATAAACAAAAATCAATTTCTAGCTTTTCAAAAGTGGTTTCAAGTTATAGCGAGTTAAGACAGTGAGGAGTGAGAAAACCTAAAGAATTAGGAAAATAGAAGGCAATGGAGAAAGGGAAAATGAAATAGGAAAGGAAAGAAATGTGAGAGGTGAGTAAAGAGAAAGAGATCAAAGGTAGGAGAAAATGAATGATAAAAGAAGGAAGGGAAGCAGGAACATATTGGGAAAGAAAGGAGAAAAGTCTGAAGGAAAGGAAAAGAAATAATTTTTTTCTCTTAATAATGGGCCAATGTCCAACATTGGAACCTGACTATCCAGCTTTCTTCACCTCTGCTGTAAGTCAAAATACCTACAAATGATGTGAAGGCACTGTTGGATTTCTGTTTGTGTTTTGTCATTAATTAGTTAAATAAAACTGGTTTAAAAAAGAGATATCTTTTTGTTTGTAGTATTGAGCACTAAAATGCCCAACTCTTCAGTAATATTTGACATCAACATAGCATACATAAACCTCACAGGAGCAAAATAGGATATGGTCCCACATCATGAATTTTGCTCCTCGAAATGAGGAGGGAATGTAAAATTTTAGTCGTTATCTTTCAACATCAAGAGGGATTTCTTAGGTGAAACTTGTTTCTAATGAAAGCAGCAGAGGTCTATATAGGCCTACAAAATCAGACTGACATTAGTGCATCAAATATTCATTGAGGGGCTGGGGATTTAGTTCAGTGGCATAAGCACCTACCTTGCAAGCAGGTGGTCCTGAGTTCGATCCCGGGTACCAATAAAAAGATTAAAAAAATTAAAAAAAAGAAGAAACATTCATTGAGTGCCAGGGAAACCCCAGACACTGAGTTCAGCACTGGGAATATATAAATAAATATATCCTTATCCCTGTCTTGATACTGCGTTCCTAGTAGTTACATTTACTTTCTTATTGAAAAAGTTCTGAAGACCTTTGCCTATATAATTCCAAGATGAAATCCTCTTAAGTGGCTAAAGAAAATGATCAGTGGAAAAGAAAAAGAAAATAAGAGTTACCCATTTTAACAGTTTCCAAAAGTTAACATTTTCTGTTTGTCTATGTCTTCCTAGTGAGGGAGAGAAAACTATGGGGAGTTCTGAGCTGTTAAGAGTATTGAGCTCCCCGGCAGCCTATGAAAATACACGTTCAGTAGCAAGCCATTAAGTAATAAGCTTTTTACAAGTAGGAATTGCTTTATCTGCCACAGATGGTGCCTATTTGTCACACCTGCCAATAAATAAAATAATACCGCTCACTTCACCATGAATAGCATCATCATATTTCCAAATTTCTCTTACCTTTGCTGGCTCCAGTTGGCCATTTAAGTATTACCTTTAAAGCTTGCACGGACAGACAACTTGTTCGGGAACATGTCTGGAATATCTGAAAAATAGGCTGAAAGCTTTGTTTTGCCAGAGAAGCAGAGCTATGTTCTTGCGAATTATGCTTTCTCTTTCATCATCCTGAAGAGTCAGCCCTTTCCAGTAAAAGCAGAATGAAATCTTCTATTAGTTATTTAAAATGCCACTTGCCACCTATGAATTAGTGCATTTCCAGATGCCTTTTTCTTTTAAGCGCCAAAGAGAAAAGGGAAGTCTTTGGATGTGCGTGCACCTGCCTTCTGGAACACTTGAATGGAAGCAGGGTGAATTAGTTAAATCCCCAGTTCCTCATTCGCAGGCGACAGTTTAGTGCATGCAGGAAAGGTTGCAACTCAGCTCTGCTCTGCCTAGCCTTGTGGAGCCACACAGAGAGGGAGGAGATAAAAGAGAAAGGAAGCAAAGTTTGTATAAGCCCTCCACTTTAACCCTTTCCAGGCTTCTTCCTGAATCCTTAGTATTTCTAAGCCTCCCTCTTTTTGGAAAAAGTGCTTCATATGTCATTTAAAAGAATCAGATTTCTTGCTCAATTCAAGGATTTTTTTTATCTTAGATAATACAGAATTGAAATCAAACATGCCAAAATGTAATGGTATTTACATAAGTCCATTTTTACAAATAGAATGTATGCATGTGTATGTTTCTAGGACTAGGAAACCTTTTTTAGGCATTAGATCAATATGTTTAGCTGGGATATTTTATGGAAATATAAGGTAAGCTTGAGTTTCTTGTCGAGGCTGTAAAGTCTTTAAAGAAAGCCTATCTATCCAGAGATGTTTCATTAAAAATGAATTCTCCACCTGTAGTTTAAATGCCCTTACCATTTTTTAGATAGCAAAGGCAAGGAGATTACCAGTTCTGGGGTGCCTACTTTGCATAAAGCATTTGATATAAAGAACTTCATTTAATTCTCACAACAACTCTATGACTTGAATTCCTCATTTTACAAACGGGAAAACTGCATCTCAAAGAGAAAGTCTGTTGTGCAGTTTAGTGAGCCTGGCACCAACATTTAAAAACAAAGCAGAGTTATCCCAAGGTTTTTGTTCTTTTCTCTGCAGCAGTATTACTTGAACTTTGTGAGTCTTGGATGTGTTACACTATCTAATGAAAACTATGGACCTTTGGGGCTGGGGATTTAGCTTAGTGGCATAAGCACCTGCCTTGGAAGCAGGTGGTTGTGAGTTCGATCCCCGGTACCAATGAAAAAGACAAAAAAAAAAAAAAAGAAAAGAAAAAAGAAAACTATGGACCTTTTTCTTCCCTCAGAAATACTTAATTTCTGTTTTCCATGGTCTCCAGGTTAAGGACAATGAAATGACTCACATCGCTTCTTCAACATCATACCATCATTTGTGCATTGTTTATCAAACAACATCTGACCGTCAACAATTTTTATTATGGTAACAATAATTATTGTATTGTTAATTATTGTATTGTCAATAATTGTATGTCTTGTCAATCTTTAAGAAATTGCTGTATTAATTTTCCCTTTATTTCCACAGTCTCCTTAACAACTCCTGTAACTTTTGTCTTTTCCTTTGCCTCATCTCAGTAGCTATAATGAGTTGAGGCTCTCCTTGAAATCCTTAGTGCCTCACCAGCATGGTCTAGTACCTAGTTTCTCAAACAGTAGAGTATGCTGGAATTTCTCAAACTGAAGTACTGTACCCAAGATTCATGAAAGTATGCAATAAGCCCAGTACGTTTTTACTTGGGTGCTTGGACAGGAAGAACATAGATCTTTTAAGTGATCATTTAAAACTTTTTATAATAGATACATTGTAGAATAAAATGCAAATTTTGCATGTATTTTTATGATCAAACATGAGACTACAGAGAAATTTTGTTCTTTTTTTTTTTTTTTTTTTTTTTTTGTCTTTTTTGTTTTTATCGGTACCAGGGATCGAACTCATGACTGCCTGTTTGCAAGGCAGGCACTTATGCCACTGAGCTAAATCCCCAGCCCCTAGAAATTTTGTTCTTGGTATGAGATTTTTTTGGGCTACTCAGACATTTCCAGGGATTTATGTTCTCTGTTCTCTGTTCTCTGCCATTTTGCATAATTTGGTGGAAAAGCTCAGAGATCATGGTAGAGCAGAAAGACAAGAAACTTTAAAATCATGTAGACCTTGCCTCAGCTTTGATTTCTATTTCCTTGATTACCCTAAAATTAATTTCTCTAAGACTCAACTTTCTTATCTTTAAAGCAAAGGAAATTATAAAAGAGGGATTATATGAGAATTTGTCTCCAAATCATGCTTTATAAATTCTCAGTAAATGCTAATATTGTGTCAAATTTTTAGATGTCAAAAGAGGATTAGGCTGCTTGAATTTAATTGGAGGTTTTACCAGGGATAGTTTATCTTTTCTTACTTAAGTATAAAAATAAGAGTTATGGAGCATGATATTAAAATTCTAAGAAGACATAGTAGGTACTTTATAATAGGTTAAAAAATTATAAAACCAAGTCATCATATGCAGAATTTACAAGAGAAATGTTCTAGAATAGGTTCATTACCAAACAGGGTATGAGGAAGTCCCCCAAGAGGTGATGGGGACCCAATTTAGTCCAATGGGTAGTTCTTTTTATTTTTATTTTTATTTATTTTTTTGTACAAGGGATGAAACTCATGACTTTGCACTTGCCAGGCAGGCACTTATGCCATTGAGCTATCCTCGATGAGTAGTTCTTTACTCTTACCATGAAAAAAGAGTTTCTGGACATGCCATTGTGCAGCACAGGCAGATTTATTAAGCAGAACTAGAAAGTAAGGGAGAATAGGGAATGGCCTCCAATTTAAGTAACTGCAGGAGGCCCCATCTGATGGGAGGATTCAGACTGACCTGCTCACAAAAACAGGAGGCCAATATTTGGGATTGGCTGAGATGTGCCAAGATCTGACCAGTCACCTCAGTTCTGGTTCCAAGTTTCAGCTCTGGAGGAAGCCTTATGGCTTGGGGGCAATTTAGTTTTTAGTTTTACGAGGGTGATCTCATCAGAGGGTAGTCTGTGAGGGTCTGCTTTTCCTGGAATCAAGGTGGTTACAGTTTGAGAACAATGGTTGGAGACTTTTTTTTTTTTTTTTTTTTTTTTTGGTACCGGGGACTGAACTCACAACCTTGCACTTACCAGGCAGGTATTATGCCGCTGAGCTAAATCCCAGCCCAATGGCTGAAGACATCAAGACATTGCTCCAGAATGGGAGTCTGGAACTGGGCTTTGTAAAATATAGTTCTTGGATATTCCTGTAAATCTTGAAAAAAATTCCTTTTTCTATGTCCTCTTTTATTTTTTTATTTTCTTTTTCTAATTTAAAAAAATGTACGTGTTTAATTTTTGGTACCAGGAATCAAACTCACAACCTTGTGCTTGCCAGACAGACATTGTACTGCTGAGCTATATCCCCAGCCCTCAGTGTCCTCAGTCTTGAAGAGGATGTAATAAACTGGGTAAATTTAGAGCTAATAAGCTTTATATTACAGGCACCTCTTAAATGTTTTAACATTCCTGCATGTACAGCTGAGCAGGGATCTAGAGATTTAGCTAATAAGGGAGACAAAACAATTGAGTTTCTTTTCTCCTTCCTATTTATTTATTTTTTTTTATCTTATGGCAGTATCAAGGAACAAAAAGGCATCTGATAATGGATGGAAGTGGGAATAAAAATTGTTGAAAACGTTTCTTTGCAGAGAGATTTTTGTCAAGCTAAGATGCTACTCCATCTTCCGTAGAAGTGATAGGTTTGGGGGATACTACTTCTACACATCAAGCCTAGTGAGGGGATATTTCCCTAGATCTTACTATTTACCTGCATGGTAAAAAAGCAGAATACTGGGACTGGAGGTTTAGCTCAGCGGTATAAGCGCCTGCCTTGGAAGCAGGCAGTTGTGAGTTCGATCCCCGGTACCGATAAAAAGGAAAAAGACAAAAAAAAAAAAAAAAAAAAAAAAAAAAAAAAAAAAGCAGAGTACTAAAGCTGTATTTTATTCTGAGGAGGCCAGAGAGCTGAACAGTGGGAAGTCAAAAGGAAAAAATGACTAATTCCGTTCCCTCTTTTCTATATTCCTGCTTCTATCCTTGTGAGGGTACAGGTAGGAGCAACAAAGTGAGAAGAAGGAGGAAAAAATCGCTGTCCTTTTTCTCTAAAGGCAGTTAGCCATAGTCTACTGGTTTTAGGATTGGGAAGGGAAGGAGATGCTTTCTTTGAGTAAAGACTGAAGAACTTGATTAGTATCTTAGATTGTATACGTACTGATTACTGAATTAGGTTCGATATATCACTTAGAATGAGCTGTTTATTCTTTTTTTTTTTTTTTCTTGGTACTGGGGATCGAACTCATGGCCATGTACTTGCAAGGGAGGCACTTATGCACTTATGCCATTGAGCTAAATCCCCAGCCCGAGCTGTTTATTCTTAAAGATATAAGCAGAAAAATTATCTAATCTGTCCACATTTCCATGTAGCATTAAAGAAAATCTATTCTGGTAGTGTACATTTTATTGAGAATTGGGAGTCTTGAAAAAATATCGGCTACACTCACTAATTCATTCTTTCATTCAATAAGCACCAGAGTGTATATTATGTACCAGGCATTTTGCTAGGAATAGGACATACAGTGAAATGAAAAATAATCCTTGCTCTTAAATTGCTTATAGTCTACAGCAGGAGTAAGCTCCTTCACCCCAAAGAACCAGATAGTAAATATTTTAGACTTTGCAGAACACACGTGATCTCTGTTTCATTTCCTTCCCTTTTCACTAACTCTTTAAAAATGTAACAATTATCCTTACTTTGTGAGCTGTGAAAAAAGAAGTCATAAATTATATTTGGCCTATGGGCCCTGCTTTGATGGTTTCTAAGCTTTGAAAGAAACAACTTTTATAAACCACCAATTAACACAGTTAATTATGAGTGAAGATATTTTTAGGACAGTTGAAGAAGAGACACAGAAGAGCAATATCAAACTCTTTCTGGGAAGATGCAATGTTAATTTGAGACCTACAGAATGAGTTGCATTTACAGTTAAAAGAAGTGAATAGTATTTAAGGCAGGGGTAGCTATCTGTACAGATACACCAAAATTTAAGTGAGTTTGACTCCCATTAGAAACAACAGAAGGAGGAAACTAAATCTTAGAGAAGTTAAATAGCCAGGTATGGTGGCATACATCAGTATTCCCAGCACTTGGGAGGTGGAGGCAGAAGGATCACTGCGAGTTTGGGGCCAGCATGAACTACATACTGAATTCAAGGCTAGCCTAGACTACATAACAAATCCCTGTCTCAAAAAAAATAGTTTCCTCAGTGTTACAAAACTAGGAAGTAATGGAGCCTAGACCCTTAATTAACCAAGTGTCTCTGACTCCAAAATTGTATTTTTAGCAACTGTGTTATATTCCTGCCTTAGTACAGACACTATGTCTAAGAACTACATTTTGCAAATTAGCAGCTCTATTTGACTGATTTTTTAATTCCCTGGTGGTGAAAATTCAAACTCTAAAAGAGTGTGCAGATATTAAAAATAAAGCAGTGAATCAATAATGTTTGGTTGGCTTAATTAAACCTCCAGTTTGCCCCTGTAAAAGCACTTCCTTTCTCCTAATAAATCTTAGCATACATTGCCCAAATTCAAGTAGTTGTTTCATTCTTATAGAAGAATTTTCTGGGAGGGACTGATAGAATTGTGGGGCGGTGGCAGCTGAAAAGATAAGAAGTATGAAATATAAATGACTTTAAGACACACACACACACACACCATCGGTGATCTCTCTCTATGGAACACGCAGAGTGGAGGCATACATGTAGCTTAGGTTGGGGGTGTTGCCTGAGGGGCATTAGGGATGCACAGGTAGCCCATTGGTATTCTTTTGGCACCAGAGGTAAATTCCTAGGGGTGGGGAAGATAGAGCCCCTTGGTTCTGCCTCCAAGGCTTTTCTGGCTACAGTTTCCTGTCTGGGCCAAAATCCTTTCAGGGACTAGGCTCTAGCACCAGTATGATGTAATGTCTTACATTGTTGTGATAGATTTAGATATTTAGAAAGTATGGCAACCTCTGGCTTGGACTACATATAATGATTAGATGAGGTAATGTTCCCATCTTCATCAATCACATTAAAGACCTCAAGCGAGTTTACTCATCACAGAATGGCTTGGTAGGTTTTTTTTTTATTGAACTAGTATGGATTGAAAGGCTAGATTAGCCATGCAGGAAGTACTCTATTAAAAACACCCATCTAAACCTGTCATGTATGTATGGAGTCACCAAGAATAGAGATTGAAATGAGAAATAGGAGGGAATGGAAATGGCCCAAACTTGCTATTACTGCTGTTCCAATGGTTCTTTTTTTTTTAAAGAGCAGAAAATATTTATTGAGAGAAAGAAAGCTTTTGTCAGAGGAA